ACATTTCCAGTCTAAATCCTAACTCATAATGATCATAGGCTCCGAACAAATGAAAAAAGATCCTAGCTACTCCAGCAGTTTCATAAGAATGTAAAAGGTATGGCTTTTTACATTTGAAAGACCAATGTCACTAGCCACGGTGTTCTTAAAATTTCTTGTTTTAGTGCAACCTACGCAATATCATTTTGCTTTTTTCACCGCAACTCGCCTGCCATGCAGAGAACTAAGTCTTGCAACAAATGCCATTTAAAAAAATCAAAATTATTTCTACAACTCATTTCCGGACTACGCTGGTCGTTATTTTGTAGCCTGTAAATGAACCTAAGCAAAAAGGCATGTCAGGGGGTTCAAAAAGATGCCTCTTAAGCAGGACTGAAAGCTATCCATTTCTGCTAAAAATAAATGTTCTGACGTTTCCAAAGCTAATTAAAGATAGCTGAAAAATGTAGACTTTTGTAACTTTAAGAGAATGTTAATTCTCTTCTTCAAATCAGTTGTATTATAAAGGTGAACACGCCGGTCCTGTTGATCTAGAGCTGGTACTTTCAAATTGCGCAAGTTTAAAAAAAGTTCAAAGTGTCAGCGGAGGTGTGCTAAGCACCGTGGAATAGACCCTCCTCTATATAAGTGCTTGGTTTCTGCATGGCTTAAAATACACCTTTTTATGTTCCTTAAACGACTTCCTTTGACATCATATTCCCAAAAATGTAACTCGTGGTCGATTCGATTACATTTTAAGCAACAGGCGGCTTCAAAATTTTTTGTTAAACATAATGCGAAACGACAAATACGAGGATGCCACATTTCTTGACAGATGAGAAATTAATGCTCAAAAGCAGCCTTTTGTTTTTTCATTTTGACACTGGGCAAAGCTGAAGCCTCATGTGGAATTCAAGTCCACAACACCTAGCTGTTTTTAATACCATTCTATAACTGAACTACTAAAAGGATATTGCACACAATTCAGCGTTTATTTCATTGAACCTATTGGCTTTCTCGCATCTTTCACTGCTGCCAACATCACACACTGATTGTTAAGGAGCCGATCTAAAAAGCTGCATTTCTGCTAACATGAATTTCAAATTCATTATATATATGGGCCATTGCATGCCAAGTGGCACACCTTCTTTCCCTACATTTCTCAAATTTTTTTTTTAAATTTTGTTTGTAGCAAAGTTTGGACCAGCATATGGAAAGCTGGAAAAGAAACTGGAAAACTGATTCCTCCTCCGAGTTACATCTCCTCAAATTTGCAAGATTTGCTAGGTTGCTTGACGTGTCTACCTTTGCAAACTTGTAATTTAGCCTATTTTCAATAGAATATGATGCTTTTTGCTAATTAGATTTCTTATTTCTTGATTTTCTAAGTGCATATTTAATGTTTTTATTCTATTAAAACATAACATAAATACAATAAAAATAAAATTGCAAACAAACATTAAAACAGAAACAAAGTTTTAAATTTTTAAAAAAAATATGTTTCGTGTAGAATTTTTTGCTCTGCAACATATCAAAATTTGGAGGTAGCGATTTTTTGGTATAGAGAGCTACGAGCCCAAATGGAATGTAAAACTGAAAAAACCAGCTATTTTTAAATTAATCCCATATATTTGACAGTGACGAAATAGTCCAAAGCCGCTTCTGAAGGCCGCAGCGGGCGCCTGCAAAAATCCGGTATGCTTTAAACGTTGAAAATTTGTTTAAAAAGTTTTACTTTACTTTGATAACACTAAAAAATTATTATTCTGCAGTGTTGTAAAAGGTGGCCTCCACTCCAGCGTTTTCAACTTCTCGTATGTCGTGGTTTCTGAGCTCTTAAAATTGACTCCACTTTGCACTCGTTAAAGGTTGCAAAAGCGAGCAGAAACTCGAATTGTTGTTCTACCTTGAAATTATGTGCTGCATTTCTCCAGAAGCACAAAAAGTTTTGAGAAAAACGTAAACTCAACAGCTAGTCGGATAAAGCAGTTAGTTCTTACTTCTTTATGATGCCAAAATTCATACTAGCCACATAATTTTGACAAAATAAAACACGAGAAGTAGAAAACGTTGGAGTAAAGGCCACCTCTTACAACTCTGCAGAATAATAATCTGTTAATATTATTAAAGTAAAGTACAACTTTTCTAATAAAATTTGAATGTTTAAAGCATACTGTGGCTTTCAGAAGCGGACCAGGACGGTTTCGCCACTGTAAAATATATGGGATTACTGTAAAAATAGTAGGTTTGATCCGTTTTACATTCCACTCCAGCTTGTGCCTTAGATATTGAAAAATCGCCACCCCCAAATTTTGATATGTTGCGGAGCAAAAAATTCTGAACAAGATGTATTTTTTAAAAAATTTGAAGATTTATTTTTCCTAATGTTCGACTGAAATCTTATTTTTACCGTGTTCAAGTGATTTTCGGTCAGAATTAAAATAATGAAAGTGCACTTAGAAGTCCAACACATGACAAACCTACTAAGCAAAAAACACTAAATTCTTTTAATAACAGGGTAAATTAAAAGTCTACAAACGTAGGCATGTCAAGAGACAATCTGGGAAATCTTGTGACTTGGCGAAAAAATTTACCTTTCCAAATCTTTTTTCGACTTTCCGTGTACTAGCCTAGACTCTACTAATCGACAAAATTTCAGAAAAATCTGAGGTATGAAGGGAAACATACATAAATAAATCCACTAATTCAAAGAGCAAAAAAACCTACACAAAAAGTAGTTTAATTGATCAACCGGGAAGGCCTTTGAAAACTGTAATATAACTAACAGCTTTCAAAGGTTCTGATTTTACGGAAGTATCCTTGGTCACAATAAATGGATTTCGGCTAACATTTTTACAATTCCTACTACACCTACATTTCGACGATTTTAAAGCGTTGTTTCAAAATAGATAAAAATGCAGATAAAGCACAAACAGCCATTCAGTATTTTGCAAATAAGCTTGGGTATCAAAACCTCGATGCTACTCTGCTACACATAAGTGATCTCTTTTAAGTCATACTGAACTTACGACTGTACTCCTGACTGATCTTTCCTTCAAACCTCTTTCTAGTCCAATTCTATCCTCTACAATAACAACCTATTCATGTTAACAGTCTAGATTGCCAACATATGTACTATAAATCCCTCAAGATAGTGTTGAGGACAAAACCAACTTTGCTTGTTCCTAAATTGCTTCAAATCAGAGTTTAACACGCTTCGCATGCTCAAAAAATTCGTTCTGGCAGAAAAAAAAATTAAGAAAACTGTGTAATAGAATTATAAGCCATACTTTACCGTTATTCGTGTTCATCCCATCACTGTTCAACGGCGGCAACACACTTACCTCCCAACGAACCACAAAATCTACATTGAACAATCTTTACATTTGTACAGTTCATTCATACTCACAATTATAAAAAACATATCAAGCCACTCCTCCCTAGCACTGCAGACCATAAAGGGCACTGGAAAGAAAACCTCACAATATTTCATTACATACCAAAAAGTACAGATAACTACAAGAAGTAGCGATTCCTCAATAGCATTCAATTTATCCAGTGCTAATCCCGCCGCTGTAGCACAAGATAAGAAACGCCCTCAACAAAGTGCATAAATGCAATGACTTGTTAAAGAACTATTTGAATCATCTTTATTCGAGGAGTATTCCAAGGTGTAGATAACAGAAATAGGTCACGAGCTGATAATGTTGGAAAAAAAAAGCTTCACTGCCACAATGAAAATTAGAACAGGAACACTTCACAAAGACATTTATCCTCTTAACGAGAACTAAACAATGAAAAAGCAGGCCAGTTTCTCTCAAAAAACCATCTTGAAACTGATCCACTGTCTACAGCTTTGTTCAAGATTTACCAAATCACCGGTGCAGCAAAAAAAGAATTTCACTTCTGTGCTCAAATGACGCTTAAACATAACTTCGCAAAAAGCAAAAAAGTATTAATGCTTAAGCTAAAAAGCAATGAACTTACACGAAGATAAGCTGCACCATATACAATCTTCTTACCCTGATCAACAAATGCCTTCCACCGGTTACTCATATACCATGCCAAAAGGTTCACATAGTAGACATCGATTCTAACTCCTGCCAAAACTGAGCCAACAATCCAGAGAAGCATCCAATAGAACTGTCATATGATAGTTCTCTTAAAATTAAAAAATGCCACAGAATTCATAAGCTCTTGTTCAAGATTTTAGGGTTAATTTTCATGCTCATTCAAAAATCCGGTATGGCACCTCTAACCTAGAAAAATCCCACATGACGCTTCAACTTCCATTATTTCAAAGACGAAGTGCATAAATTGCAAAAAAAGTGGTAAAAAGGTATCTGAGCTGCTTTATAATGCTGATTAAACATGGAAAAATATCCATCAAGTGCTGAATTAATAAATTCCCAACAACGATCAACCCGGTTCCAAAAACGTCTGTACATCAAAGACTTTTATATATTTGCCAGCGATGGACACGGCTTCGAAAGTTGGTGAAGAAAAGAAATGTAGCTGCAAACACCGAATACTCAATCAGCCAAAAAGCTAAAAAACAGATGCAAGTTAATTTGAAGTAAATAATACCGTTAAAACAAGAGATATAAAGGTTTACCAACTATTTCTAAAAATCTTTTTGATGCTACACATGGAAAGCAATCCCTACAATCAAACTTGGTTTTTAAAAATTTTGAACGCCCTCTTCTTCTAAAGAAAAATTAAAAATAAGTACTCCATAAGTTGAGCATTACGTCAGGTGAAACAGTACCACGGTGAGAACCAATGAAAGCAGTAATCTCCCAGACAAAAAACCAAGAAAGATAGATTTAGGCAACTTTTAAAAAGTCTTCATAAGGTGCCGTCTAAAACGGTACTGAAATAAACCATAAAATCCAGATAATACAGCGAATACAAGTACAACATTATTTCAAAAAACTGAGTTTTCAGTAAGATTATTTACGACACAGTCGCCAAAATTTCTCACCTTAAAAAATCTAATTAAATTCAACAACTATCACTGCGTGTTCCTGTGAGGCAGTCAAGAACTTCCACGAAGTTCGGTTAATAGAACTGATATATACAAAACGCAATGAAATATGTAATTAATATATCAACAGCTTAATACGTGGACTTGAAAAGCTATCGTAGATGTAAGAACTGACAAGAAATAATACAGTAAAAGACAGCTTATCGCTTCAATTCAAGATCACCGACCTGTCACTTTTTATCACGATTAATGCTCATCTAATCTAGAGCATTTTTTTACAAAAGCATCCACTAATTAGATACAGCAGCTGCTTGAATCTTAGTCTCAGCTGGATTTTTAGGATCCACAATTGCCGGATTTCCTTCAAGTTTTTTCTCTAAATCTGTTGAGCCATCCTTGTTTTTCACCCCTTCCAATTCTTCAATTAAGGTTTTCGCGAGAAGGAAAAATCGTCCTGGCCGATAAACAACGGCTCTGTATAAAAATTTCATCTGCAATTTAGAGTTCATTAATACTTTAACACCTCTCATTCTGTTTGACCAAAGTCTACTATAGGAATTTAGAAAACAAATTGAAAAAAATGACAAAAACTAAATGACTCCCCTGATTTGAAAGCATTTTATGACAGTTAGTTCATATCAGTTACAAATAAATAATACCGTTAGAAAAAGAGATATAAAGATTTCTGTTCCACTGATATA